CCTACATAGATAGTAAACTGAGTAGATATACGAGTAATCCAGGAGCTGATCACTGGAAATGAATAGTAAGAGTACTAAGGTACTTAAGATATACTCGTGACTATGGACTACATTATATCAGATATTCAACGGTCATTGAAGGATACAGTGATGCTAATTGGATATTTGATATAAAAGACTCAAAGTCCGCCAACAGATTTGTGTTCACATTGGGAGGTGCTGCCATATCGTGAAAATTCTCTAAGAAAATAGTTGTACCCAGGTTTATGATGGAATCTGAATTTATAGGTCTAGATAAATGTGGTGAAAAGGTGGAATGATTGCGCAACTTCTTAGAGGATATTCCAAGATGGCCAAAATCCATGCCAACAATTTGCATATATTGTAACAGTCAATCAGCAATATGAAGGGTACAGAGTAATATGTATATTTAGAACGTAGACACAATACCATAAGACAACTGCTCTCAACTGGAGTTATTACTATTGACTATGTAAGGTCGGAAGATAACATTACGGATCTGCTAACCAAAGGGTTAAGTAGAGAATTAGTTAGGAAATCATCGAAAGGAATGGAAATTAAGCCCTTGAATGAATAAGTCATTGCAAAGGAAACCCAACCTAATTGACTGGAGTTCCCAAAATCTAAGTTCAAAGGGACAACCTAATTATAAAGACTTAATAAAATTACTGTAGGGTGTTACCTCCTGTTCATTCCTATGATGTAACAGTAATGCCTGTAAGGATGAAAGATAAGTAATAGGTTTTTAATAATTCTTATGCGTCAAAATCGAGCCAAGTAATATGGGTTACTTGTAATAAGAAATCACCTATGTGAGAGAGAAGTGAGGTCGCTTCTAAGAGAATTGCGTGAGGCTCAATTTTTAAGAACTCTCATAAAACTAGGCATATATTCATGGTTAAAATGAACATAATAATGAGAACTGAATTGTGTTAGGAAGAATCCTGTGTGGAGTATATCATCATTTATGTAAACGGCAGAACAGTTAAAGGACAACACGTCTACTGGTTAACTAGTAAAGTAAATATGCTTTCACAAGGGAAGGTTCAAAGGGTGATACCTACCTATCCTATGAATGCTTTAACAGTTGAACTTTATCACCAAATCTTGTGTCTCACGATCTCGTGTATCTCCCAATTTTCATCCATGTGGGGATTGTTGAAAAAAATGAGTAGATGGCTCACTTTTGACACAAATTTCGATAGGACCCATTGGTCCAATTTGAAAAATCAAAATTGATCCATATTCTCTTCTGTGAGAGTATCAAAATCATATATTTACTTGTCAAAATTGATGATGGATGAATGAGAAATTGGAGCTCAAAATTGACCATTGGAAAATGATTTATGTGGGAAAATTAGATTCATCACATATAGGAAAAAGAAGAAAGTATGAATCACTTTATATATTGCTACACTTTGGAAGGGTGTAATCATGTATAATAATAATATAGATGCTCTTTCCACGTGCGCGCACATGAGGTGCAAATCACGAACCAAAATAGCCTCTGAACCTTGAACTTGTATGTACGCACGATCTATGTACACAAATGTCGGACCAAACGGAGTAAAAATTGGCCCGTTTGGAGTGTCCACGTTTTGCAATTTTTTTGCTTTCTCAAACTGACTTTTGAGTTTCTGAAATTGTTAAAACTCCAATAGAAACTAAAGTGACTCCAATGTTTATTGTCATAGAATTAATGACAGATTTATCTTATATTAAATATCAATTTTTTAGCAATTTCTTACACACCAGAACCACGAAAATTATAGTTTGCACAGTCTGCATACACGAAAATATACTGCATATTATTAATCTGTCTGCATTCGTCTTGGTGGTAATATTGTTTGAATATTAACTCAGCTCGTCGGAGTTGTATCTGTGGTGCTCAGATTCTACTGATTTTACTGTTGTATCCTGGAAAACAGACGCTCGGATTAAATCTCAAGCATTTATAGTGAGGGCGCGAATCTATTTTAAGGAAAATGTGCTCGCACAGGCCTCGGATTGAAAATTCATTTCTTATTTATTTATTTCCTGAATTTTTATCATACTTGTTCGACTTGCATATTCTTATGCAGTTATATTCTTTTTGTATTTCATATATTTTAAAGTTTATTTTCTGTTTATATTAAAATAAAAATCTGGAAAATTTATTGACATTCGGTTGGGTAAGTGCATATGCAGTGTTCTGCAATTTTGGAATTTGTAAGTGGAAATATCGGTATATGAAAATGCGACATTTAAATGGGTAAAGACAATATGTGCAAATGCGGTCAAATGCATATACGGTAGGTAACATATACGGTAAACTGCCTACAAATATGGTAAGTTGCATATACGGTATATTGCATATACGGTATGCTTAAAATCGTTATCTAAATTATATATACGGCATGTGCTAATCCTGTTTCATCCTCTTAACACTACTAAATTCCAACAAAATCGTATGAGCATAAATCCAACATGTAAAGTGCATATACGGTATGAATGAATCCGATTTTGTCCACTACACTAAATTTCAACACGACACCTTACAATTGAACCCAAATACTTGAGGATCAATTAGCCCTAAATGAGCCAAAAGTAACCAAAGTCACATGGGCAAATGGATATCCTTTTTCCGCAAAGGAAAGCATATGGATATCTGGTAAATCATGTGGTAGCATGAGAATAATGTCACATGTCAAAAACAATTAGTTAACATGTGAGAAAGTGATTTAAAGATGCTTTTAACAACTAACTCAATGGGCAAAGGCCATATGCCATAGAACCGTTTGTAATTGTAATTTGTTGCAGACTTGTCAATAATAAAACGACCCTTAAAGGAAGGCAAGTAATATCATAAATTTTAGCTAGCTTCTTATTCTTCCTATTCTAATTATTTACTTGACTACAGTTGTCACTATAAATTGACTCCTCGAAGCTTCAGCGGCCAATAAAAAGCTTAAGAAAGAGATTTGACAAGGAGGTGGTTGAGGAACTTGTTGATCTCGACACATTGGAGTCATCAATTAAAATTGACGAATTTGTAATCTGATGAGTAGAATTCGTAATCAAGACTATATTAAAAGCAAAATGTTTGTATTAGTATTTAAGAAATTCAAGATTCACATTTTTGTTTTAAAAGAATACATCTTCAACGATTGAAAAAAAATGACAAATATTTAAATATTAGATCAATTCCTTTATTCATGTCACGTATTTTGCTTATAAATCGTGCATTCTGTCACTCTTAATAACGAACATAAAAGTTAAAAATTAAATTAAAAATAAAGCAGTCAAATTGAGAAATAAATATAAATCGCATAAGTAATTCGAACAAATAAAGATTGGACTAAAAAAAAAAAAAAATCTATTATCTGGCAGTCTTTGATTAATGTATTGAAGTGCATAGAAAGAAAAAAGGCTCAAGTTTTTCCCACAGAAATTTGACAAGATGTTGTCGTGTCAGCATGTGGTATGTTCCCATTGGTCTAAGGATTTCACGCGTAAGCATGTGGAAATTATAAGGTGGAGTTGTTGGTACGGTTTATCAAGTACGATCCGATCCGACCCACGAAGTCACGCGTCAACGATTCAGTTTCCTTACTTTTATTTTTTGAGTATTTTTAAAATTTTATTTAGACAAAATGATTGTTGGTGGGCTCATCATGCCGCCTTTGTGCACGGAAGTCAATAACGTATCTCAGATATCCAATTACAAATTTCAATAAATTAATACTTTAATTGCTGATTAATAATTGCATCAATAATCCTCACGGTTTAACATAATTCTATAATCTAACAATTTATTTATTGACCAGATTTGGTACTTGTTACATGTGCATCAGTATAAAAGTTTACAAGAATTTAATATCATATTTGCCAATCACACGAAGATGAATTGAGAACTTATATTAAGCTCGTCTTGTTTAATTCAATTCGAATTATCAAATATCAAGTTATCATTTTGTTACAATTCCATTCAAACTGTTGTATTTCCCTTCATAGAATCATAATAAAAGCACTCATTATTCTGTAAAACATATTGAATATCTGATTAGTTCAATTTAAACTGTCAATTTTTCTTTAATAAAACAATGCCAAAGAGCATGATTCTTGAAAACCACATTCAACATCAATGATAATTATATTTAATATTATATCAATGATAGGACATTAAAATTTTCTAGGTCATGTTAACCATTATCTAAACTAAATAGTAACGGAAAAGTCGACCGCTCAAAACTTTCAACTCAAACCTCTGTCCCTAACTTCTACGATACAGAAATACTGAAAATTTTGTTATAATTTTGTCATAATTTTGTCAAATGGAATCTTTAGTTTTTCCATCAAACTAATACTCGAGACACGTGCAATCTCAAAACAGTGGATCTGAACCTTTTTACGACCTCTTACTTGGATTTTGCTACTGTAATAGGGGGGCTGTCTGACCTAATCCTACCAATGTGTGGAGGGTCCCATTTTTTTCGCGCAAGACCCTCTATGGTGAGGTTCGGTTAAGGGGACTGTCAACCCCTATTACAGTAGCAAAATCCCTCCCGTTTAAAGGAAAATTTATTAAAATAAATGATAGACATAAAAGAAAATTTAATGGACGAGATTTTCTGACATTATTTGATTGGAAAAGAATCAAAGGAAGTTGCCTAGAAATCTATCCGTTTCCGTGTCAAACAAATGGCCGTAGTTGTTGACTATATTAATCAGAATATACCTATCAAACGTTTGATTATTCTTCTGATCGTCTTGGATGTTTCCTCAAGTCTAAAATTGTCCACTCTTTTGTCGTTTTTTATTAGATAAAGATAAAGAAAAAAGGGTAAAACATATCAATTAATCTGTGTGTACAGACTAACTGTACATCTAGCTTCATTCAAAACATATGGTCCTTCCGTTGCAATTAACAAAAATTTACTTTAATCGCATTTCAAATATAAAAAAAAAAAAAAAAAAAAAAAAAAAAAAGCAATCAGCGCTTCTCTCTTTTGTTAATATTGGAATGACATTTATTCTGAATAAAACAATATAAAAAATGTAATTTTTGTGTACCATGAAATAAACCCTCCACCCCATTACAAAAATATATACGAAGATTTTAAATTCCTTCTGAACCCCCAAGAAAAGAAGAATTAATCAACAAAACTATTTGATACAAGTGTAAAAAAGCAGTTGCTAAAGACAAAGGAACTGGATCATGCTTCCATCAACTCCCTGAAAAACTGCTGGTCTTGTTGCTACTATTTGTGTTTACGTCGGTACTATTGTTGTTTGCCATCGTATTGTTATTGCCGCTACTTGGATTGGAGCCTCCGATGATGGAGGTGATGGCGGCGGCAAGGGCTGCAGTGAAATTAGGATCCGCGGTTATGGCAGCGGTGGCGGCACTGAGGGTTTCAGTGAAGGATGGGTGTTGCTGCTCCTCGTTTGGTAATGAAGCAGCTTCAATTCTGTCCCGAGACATCTGTAGCCCGGAAAATTTTGATTGGTTATACCCAAAAACTTGAGACATTTGCGGCGGTGGAGCCGCGGGAAAAGGGACTTGGAATTGGGTAGTGGGTGGCGGTCTTTGGAATTGCAAAGGGTTGGGTTGCTGCGTAAGGTCTAATGTGACTGTTGGAAATGGAGCCGAGGCTGAAATAGTAGCCATGTTTGATGAACATGGAAGAATGGTTCTTGCAAGAAAATTCGGATTCATTAACCCATCTGCGCTAGACATTGAGCCTGAAAGGAGCATACTAGCCGCGGCTGAAGTTGTTGACGCCATGGCCATGGCGGCCGGTGGAAGTGGATGATTGTGGGTTCCTTCGTAGGTTGTAATCAAGATTGATCTATCCTCAGCACACCTTTGAACCTGTAAATTACATGAATCATTTTAAAATTAAGCTAAAATGAATCATTGATGTATAAAATGATGAAATTTTTCAAGTATAAAAGCCGGGTTCAATTTACCTGTTTGCGCACTGGACAGCCTACTGCCATTGTGCAACGATAATAAGCTCGTGGACAAGGATTTCCTTTTGCCATCTTTTGTCCATATTTTCGCCATTGGCATCCATCCGAAATCTGATTGATCAAACATCTTGAGCGTTACTATCATAATTATTGAGATTATTCACAATTCAATTGGTAAAATTTGATGACTTGGACAAACTTATTTATATAAACTACGTGTTTGATGCATACCATAGGAGCTTCGGATCTTGCCCGAACTGAAACACGAGCTTTTCTCATCGTAGCCTCTGTGGGTTGATCAGCAGGCTTGAAGGGATTTAATTTGGGGGCCTTATTAGGAGCCCAATCTTCAGATGCTGGGCTCTCTTCCCTACCAATCATTTTCTTGTTTTGTGCCGGCGATCCAGATATAGTTCTTTCTTCTGATGAAGAATGAAATAATTCTGGATCACCTGGGGCCAACTCCAAGAACTGTCTTGGAACTATTGATCCTCTATTTTCTTGATTCTTATCTTCGAATTTTCCATCTACAGTCTGAATTATTGTAAAACATTAACATCTCATCAAACAAGTTTGACAAAGTTTAGCGATTTCAACAAGGCTTAAAAATAAAGAATTATTACCTGGTTTTCTAGTGAGCTTTCTGTTTCTGAATTCTTCTGATGTTGCATTAATGTGATAAGATGCATCTGCAACGTACTGTAATTGCTGGTGACCTGAGAAAGCATCCCTTTTAACTTCTGATTTTCAGCGTTCATTCTATCAAGTTCATCTTGCAATTCTGCTAGCTATATATCATACAAGTAAATAAAGAAAAATTCAGAAATCAAATTATCAAAAATTAATGAGCATTTTTTCAACAATTTCTCTAGAGAGCATGCATTCTCACCTCCTTTTTTGCTTTCTTATCTTTGATGTCAGATGAAATCCCATCATCTTTCGTTAATTGATCATTTCCATTGTTAACAGTAAGAAGTTGCAAACCAGTCTATATTAAAGAAAAAAATAACAATAAATACAAATATCTCCAGAATAATATATCAAGTATACATGTCATACATAGAACATATCAACACACACACACACACACACACATACATACAATTGTTGTATGTATAAGCAGATGCTACTTACGTTGACATTCAAATCCCTTGTAGCAGCTTCAACATCTTCCTTCTTCACTACAAAAGTATCGTTTGTAGACCTCCTCTTATCTGCAAAAAAGTCTACTTCACCTAAAAAGACCCGTTTATCATCGGCCGGCGGTGGAGCCACCCGCTCCTCCCTGCCATTTAGATTCACAGGAAACATAATTCCCGGGCTTTGATTCAACCTTGGGCTTAAATTAAATCCAAAAACAGGCTTATTAGTAAAAGGATCAGATTTTTCAACGGTGAGACCCCATCCCTTTTCCATAAATCAAGAAACAAAGAAGATGAGAATTATCAAGAAATTAAAATATTTTGAATAGTGTTCAGAAAATAATGAGAGTTGTTGACAAGAAAGAGACGGGATGTCAAGAGTCTGAGAAGTCTTTTACAACTGCAATTGGCAAGTGTATATAAAGGGGTAAGGTGAGGTTGGGGAATGAGAAACTACCGAAAGTTTTACGTAGACTGGAAATTTGTAGATTTGATGAATGTACGGTGAGAAAGCTTTGGGGATTGATTGATAGGGAAAATAACGTCAGGTGGTGCGTCAGGGTTGGTGCTAGAATTAAAATATGGGCCCCACTACTAGCAACTAGATTCACACCATGTTTGCCAAGTTAGAAGATTAAGCCCTGTTTATCACCTATTACTTGAAAAATTAAAAAGTTTTGAATTGTATATTTTTGAGAATGTGTAATTAAAAAATTTTAAAAAAGAAAATTATTTATTTATATGTAAAATATTTTATTATGTGAATGTAAAGTGAAAAATGATACTGTAACAAATAATTTAAAATTTTAAAGGATGCCAAAAAGACACTAAGTAAATTATTTTTTTATTTTTTCCAAACATATTTAGATCACTATTCTGGAAATTGATGAAAGGTCAAAGCAGCGGTGATAAAAAAAAATAAAAAATTAAACAAATCAAAATTTGTTCCTTTTTAGAAATCAATCAAACAGTTTTGCAGGGTTTTTAGAGTAAACTCAGTGTTTTGAAGGTGAACCAGTCATTTTTGAGGTTATTAGACCATCTTAAATTCCGCAATAAGATTTGCACCAAAATTAAAAACATCTGCAATCCATTACACCAAAAGTTGTAACAAATGAACAGTGTTTAATCTTTTTTTTTTCATTCTTAGTAATTTATTTATATGAAAATTTATTTATTTATTTAATCTACTACTTCATAAATTATTAAATAGATATGATGTAACACTATTTATTTGCACCATTTTGCAAAAAATTGGTGTTGGATTGCAGTGGGATTACACCAAATATTGGGTGCAAAATAGGGAATTTGGTGTAAGGGTTGGAGTTGCCCTTATTACGAGTTTTAATTTCTCAATTTCTTACATAACTCTGAATGAGATTGGTTTTCGATTTTTCTAAGTGAGCCAACTCGTTCAAATAAGTTGTTATCATTGATTTAGATATTATCCATTTTTTTGCTCAAGGAAAAAAAAAAGTGATTGGTTATATTTTATAAATTAGAATTTTAATTATTTTAATAACAAACTAAGCTCGTCTGGACTTCATTAAAATGAGATTTTGGGGAAAAATACATGTGAGATAATGATTTTTTGAAAACTGTGTTGTAAAAAATAAAGAAACGTTTAGAATTTACATGTAATATTATTTTATGAAAAAAATACAAGACTAAAAATAAATTTTGAAAAAATTGAGTCCAAACGAGGGTTAGAGTTATTTTTAAATTAAGTAAATTTTATCAAGAAAAAAAGTGATGTATTTTATCTATAAGTAAAGTAAATACTGTTCAGCTTAGCAAAACAAGCAATATGAGATGGATAAAGCTGAGAGCCTGTTTAGGAGTTATTTTTTCCTCCAAAAAATTAATTTTTTAATCGTTATTTCATTATTCCAACCGTCATATTTGACTTATTATCTTACAGGTAAACCCACTTTTTTCTTAACGGTAAAAAAATCAATTTTCAAAATCACTCTCAAACAGGCTCTGAATGTACACACCAAAGTGATATCCCCCATTCCCCCGTGTGGAGGGTCATGTGATGTAGTTTTCGAATTCAAAATCAATGGTGCAGATTAAGTCACTTTGGCTGAGGGATAATCATATGTATATAGCATCATTGATATGAGATGGCCGATAGCAGTTCCATCCAAACTTGGCCAAGACTGGCTTTGACTAAGTCTCTGTTTGATCCCCATTAAATTAAATTACATTACATTCCATTTTTCTCTCTCCTATTTTCAACCACACAATTTTTCATAGAATAATATTATACGTAAATCAAAAAAAATTTCTTCTTTTTCAACTACTCATTTTTCTAAAAAATACTATTTTTCTCATTTTCATTTTCAGGTAATGGTGATCAAATAGGGGCTAATTCCAAATACAGAAAACAGTGGGTCGGAATTAGTATATAGAAATCCACCGGCCCAACTTATGCGGCGCGGTCCACGTGATGAAATGAAAAGGTCAAAGAGAAAGTCAACAGATTTGACGGCCAGCTTTTTTGGGTGACTTAGTTGGGGGAGGGTACATCCTTTGGAAAACCGGAAATGTTCACAACAGATTTGAACCCTGTTTTTTTTTTTTTTTTTTTAATTCATATTTTTAATCATATATTTTTTTATAAAATAATATTACAAGTAAATTTAAATTTTTTGACCTATTTTTCAGTTACACGTTCTCCAATAATCACCATTTCGAAATACATTTTTCCTAAAAAGAATAGGGTCAAACAAATTTTGTCTATTTGCTAATTTCTATTTACTTAAAAGTTCTGCATAAAATTATAAAATGTGTGTATTCATCACGGTCTTTTAAGTACGCTCTTGTTGACTGTTGTAATTGTATATTGGTTAGAATTGGAGCGGGTCTTCGGCTAAGGACAACTTTGTCAAGGTGTAAAAGTTGGACACAAATACGGTAAAGATTAGACGACGACTGCAAATTTGAGTAATAACTATGTTAATAAGTCTCCTTTTTATGTTTTTTAATTTGTTATTAATTTACTATGATTAATGTTATTTTTAGTTTTAAGCCTGAGTTTTAAAAAATGAAAATAATAAATTTTATAAATCTCACAACACAGAACAAATCTTAAAAACAACTAATTCAATAATAATTTTTCTACTTTTTTTTCCTGTAATTAATACAATTTTCTCACAAAAGAAAATTATGGTTCAAATCATTTTTTTCAAAATTTTATTAATTTTCCAACACCTAACAAATATTGTTCTCCCAAATACTTCTTTTGAGCACCTTTAAATTCAAATGAGGCCTGCATGATTCGCTTCCTATTGACGTTCTCGCATTTCTGAATTACAAAGCCTACGGTGAAGCATTTTTATAAAGACGATTCTAACATATATGCGAAACTACACATTCATACCGAAAATCAATACAGTATGAATCCAAGAAAAATGGAGATTCGGCCTTTTTTTTATTTGAAAATATGCCGTCAAGATACAGCCGGTGAAACGAAAATTTGGATACTTATTTGAATCAATCTAATTTAAAATTTCACTTCAAAATTTTTTTTTTTTTTTTTTTTAATTCAAAACAAAGATTCTAACTAAGGGACTGTTTGATAAAGTTTTTTATATTAAGTACTTATAGGTTTGATCTGGTATTTCTCGCTTCTAAGAGAATAAAACATCGAATAAAATAATAAGTTCCAACAAGAATCAGACAAGTATTTGATAAAATTTAGTTTCAAAATTGTTTTAAAGTTTAGAAACAGCGTTTGAACGTATGATAAACAAAAATGATAGAAAAATATTTTTTTTAATATATAATGTATAATTTTTAGTTCATAATGTTAAGGCAAAACTTCATATAATTTAAAGTAGAAAATAATAAATAACACAAAAGTTTAAGCTATTCTTTTTAATCATGTTAACCATTTAAAAATGAAATCCTAATCAGAGTATCATGGTCCAAGGAGCTCACAAAAATAATTTTATCTGTCTAAAACTTAAGTGAACAACTAGATTTCAAAATTGACATTCTCCAACAAGTTATCATCATGCAAGAGCGTGTTACGGTAAAAATTTTCACCAATTAAAGAAGAAAACAATAAATTGTAGAAAATTTGGATTCAATGCTTAAAGATTAACCTAGTAAGTGGAGTAATCCAATTGCTTTCAGACATTTTATCTACACATATCTACCACGATGAATTATCTATCCATGTTTCTTCTTCAAATTAAAAAGAAGTACATTATTTATCAAGGCTTAACCATTTCATCGCGTCAAACTCTCCCTTAAGTGGGCACAACTACCTAGGCTCAACGATTGATTTTCCTGGCCATTGCCATTCAAATTAGGGTCCACCACTAGTTGTTGTTACTTTGAACATACAACCAACATAAAAAAACATATAAAGACTTAGATTACTCTCGTTATGTCTAATCCTACGAGCATGTCATGTGACATTCAGCTAAGCAAAGACATTGTAAGAGGTTATACAAGGTCCACACTCCACTTCACCTCACTCCCCCATATCTCCCTAAGGTGATTGGACCATTGGACGAGGTGATTGACACCTCGTATGAAGTTGTTGATCACCTTTCCAAGCACATATACCATTCCCTCTGAAAGTGTTTTTTCCAAGGTGATAGCACCTTGTCTAAGTGGTACTTTTGAGGCGAGGTGCCACCTCCTGCTATAGTGTATTTTTGAGTTGTTGATATCACCTATGAATGACATCTTTTAGAAGCATCACCTCATCTAAAAGGTACTCTATACAAAAATACTTTGTATATTTTGATTTGGTAGCCTCTAGCAAATACTTTTCAGTCTTTTTTTAGTTTAGGGTGACTACTTGTTAGCCTTCGGTCAGACAGCTACATGCCTCGATAGCTAAAATTGATACATTTGAGCTTGACTATTGAGATTTTTGGATAAGGTCACATGTCAAGCATCTAATGGACATCACTTATTCTCAACTATAAATGTTCAAACATAGTGACGTCCAAATGTAATTGTAATTTGGTAATTCACGCTAAATGTTAGTCAAATCCCCTCTCACTCATCTCTCTTGCATTCATTGTTTTCTATTTCAATAGTTGGCTTAATTGTCGAGTGCAAAAATTTGTCAGACTTTTTTCTAGGACGATAATATTTGCACTCTAATAGTGCGTTTCAACATGCGGATGATACCTAAGTAGACGGGAGGTGGTCGAAATTCTATTGACTGTTTCATCAAACGTATTTTGAGGTGAACACCTCTCCACACAATTAACCATCTCAAATGTAACCTCGATACTTAAAGCATAAATACTCAAAGACAAACAAGATGATAAACTATTATAACTTGAATTTTTTGCTCTTTCTAATACTATCCAATTAATCTTTTCAAACCTCACCTGAAGGTAGGTGATTGACTCCTTTTTCTCAAAGTGACCTCAAAGACACGTTTTTCTTCCTAATTAACGCGCACGACCCCACCAAATTGATTAGGGCCCATTTCTTTGGTCTCCCTTTGCAGCTATTATACATGACTTTCTTGGTCCATTGTCCCTTTCCTCTTTCTTCGCCGACTATAGCATTAAAGTGTGCAAATAGGAAAAAATGAAAAAGAAAAATGGGAAGGAGAATTCAGTGTACCATTTTTCCTGAAAAGTCAGATAAAATGGACAACGTGTGAAGGAAATGTTACATGGTTGAATTTTTTTTGGAATATGTGAACTTTTAAATATTAAATAATGTAGCCAAAGCTTTTCAAATTAGTTGATAAATTGAAAGGAAAATCTTAATGAAGTTGTCTGAAAATTACTCATTTGACTTGTAATTTTTTTATATATATTAAAAAATATATATTGGCGAGATTTTCCATTAATGTATAGTCCAATTAACTGATATATGTATACGTGGTTAATTAAAATTAGTCATTGAATATAAATAAGAAGACCTAGACTAGCCTTAGAATAGTAGGCACGTGCCCACTTCCTTAAGTGAGTCTAGGGAAGAACCAAAATTATTGTAAGCATAGGGATCCATTGCAAAAGCCAATCTTGCGGGTCTGATCACTGATGAGCAATCAGTTCACAAAATACTTGACACCAAAAAAGTCAATTACAACAATAAAAGTTTTCGGCGTCCAACTAATCCGTGACAAAGCATTGTGTTTTCCGTGAAATAAATTCATCAATTTTTTATTTTTATTTTTTCATTTTTCCGATTAACTTCACGGGTTAAGATATTAGGTGCCACCTAAATCCAACCAAATATCAACCTTAACCAATTATTCAAATTGATAATTGGAACTCAGTAGTTCAAATGATTATATGTGTTTTATGCATAATTGACTATCATAATTAAGTTCATTTTGGTGAAAATTAAAATCAGATTTTTTTAGTAGATTTTAATAAAAGTTGATGAAATGTCTGATTGAAAAATTGTAGGTTTCATAAAATATATAATTAAAATTAGTTGTTAACATTGATTTAGATTAAAATTTAAATTTAAATTTTTAATAAATTTTAATAAAAATTGATGAAATGTATAATTATAAATTATAAATTCTATTAAACAATTTCATAAAGTGATGGCATCGTCAAATAAAAGACAAATCATGTGTGCAGACAAAAGGAGAGTTTACTAAGATTTTTACATTGAAAAAACCCAACTTCCACGTGGATTATCTCCCATGACGTAGAAAAATGGTGCATGGTTAGGTTTAATTGGACCATTGGGATTTAAGAGAAGAAGCGGCCTTTTGAATTGAATTTTGCGGTGGCATTGAAATATCGACACAAACAGTACGTGCGGTTAAATCCTACTCCCAACCAATATTTTTGCTCTTATGTCAATTTTCAAACAATTTTAATATAAAAATTTGAAAATCACTTATAAAAAGACAAATTATAAGTCATAGAGGGACACCGTTTTCAATATAGTTTAAGATTAATATATATGTCATTTCTTATCTGCTTGCTCATTATATTGTTATCCGTAGTAAAAGATCAAATATACTCTTATTATTCACATTAATTTTAGTCTAAACCACTGTATTCTTGGATATAATTATTTTTATTCAAATATTTAATTGCGATCAATTTATGATTTAACTATGAAATCCCCAAAAAAAAAAATATTAAAGAAAAAACTTAAAATAAAAATGAACTTGAATCATTTCTAATTAATAACTTAAAATTTTATGTAATACCCCTGAATATGCTATTTGAACATGCATAGATATTGATTTGAATTCACGTCATGCACATTTAAAAAAATTGTACATATATGGATCAAATAGTATGTTTCAGAGTAAAATATAAATAAAAGTATCTACACGAAACTAAAATTTTGCCCATCGGCATAAGAATTTGATTTTAATAATAGACTTTTTGCCATTTTACAAGTTACAACTCGGACTGTTTATTATTGACAAGCCAAACTTTGATTAATTATTTGTCAAAAAAACGTTTCTTCTAGTTGATACCAAGTTCAAAACGATTTCTGCATATTTCAAACTCTCTTTAAGACAGAAAATTGGCAGCATGTGGAATATTATGAAAGAGATCCAGCTATCATTTTCAACCTACCGGGTAAGTTTGGCAACATAATTTTATATTTTGACCAAGAAATTGAGTTGGTTTTTGACAAATAATTAGGCTACAAGTTCCAAACTATGGATCAAATGTTATATATTTATGGTATAAATATAAAATGTGAAAGAAATAATCAAATTAGATAAAGTGCCAAAGTGGTGGGAAATGTGACATTTGTGTGGGACGTCAGGGGTTCGAATTACTCCCCACGCAGGTATTAAAATGTCTTGATTGGGGCCTTGGGCTTCCTTGACTAAAATAAATATTTTTTTCTTTATTATTTAATGGGTAAAATTAGACAGTATTTTATGACTGTTTGTTTTTATAACAACTCACTAACTGCCATTAAAACACCCACTACTCAGTCATTAAAATTTTGCATTAACATGGTGAAGACTATTACTACCATCTTGCCTATATAAACCCATATCTCGTTTTGGGAAAAGACACACAAAAAGAAAATAGATAAATCATCTTGCATCAATCACTCTTTTCATATTGTGAATTTCTTATATTCGGGTTTTTATATCTATTCTGGAGTACAATTAAGAGTTCTAGAAAAATCATTCGTGATTGCTGCACAAGTGGTTTACGATCGTTGTATTCTGGGAGTGATTGTCCACGGAGGTCGCAGCAATTATTGACGGGCAATTTCACTTTAGGACATCGTACTGTCACGAGACTCGATCGGACGATAAGTTTTATATTTCTGCATTATATTGTTCAGATTGCTACTGCAGCTAATTAATTTGTTCCAACAATTTAAGATATGTATGAGATTGTTGACAAGTAATAGTAAAAAACGAGTTTAAAATATCTTTTCCGCGAGAAATAGAGTTTAATTATATCATGAACAAATAGGAAGGTAACAAAATTAATTTATGAGTTGAATGGTTTGTATTAACTACTAACGATTATAATAATTTCTAATTAAATGAACATGAATATGATTTTTTAAAAGGCATTAGTTCACTAGATTACTTATTATGATTGCACAAGGCAAAAACAATTATTCCTAATGTCTATTGTACCTTATATCGATATGCTAAAACCATTTCGAACTTTCCAAAAATAAAATAGATTACATATTATCTAAATGGTAATCAGGCATCCGTATAAATATCATAAACATGATATCAATCAATCAACACAAATCATACTTAAAAGAAGAGGTCTTCAAATTAAAAAGGATTAATTAACGATTTACAACATCATCACAACACTAAATGAATTTAGCCTAACATACTAAACATGCAAAAATAACTAAAATTTGATGATTGATCACTCGGAAAATATAATTGCAAAGAAGAGAAAATGAATCAATTTCGCCTCCGTTGAATTTCTTTGATTGAGTTTTCACTTAATTTCAGATATTTATTTTTATTTATATATTTTTTTTGCTTTTGATCTTCAATTTCGAGCCACAAATCTTTAACAATGAGACATTGATAAAAATTGTCGTATCACACGAAATATATAATTAAAATTAAGGTTTAGTTAAAAATTTGATAGAACTTCCGCACTTAGTCGGTATCATTGGACCCCTGGGAGATCTTAGGAAGTTGAATTCTAGAAGTATACACGGGTAGTTGGTCTAAAGATGAGACACTCTTCACACACTAATCAAACTTGAGGGACCACTGGGGAAAATTCTATGTTTTTCTACACAATTTCCAGCGTACTTACTGATCAGGCAGCCTTCTAGACCAGAAGACAAACTATTTTAGATTTTTACTTTCTAGGCATTGGTATTTATATTGTCGGGAAATTTTGTAGAAAAACTTGCCAGAAAAATAACTGAATTTTACGAGGCGAGAAAATAAGTTGGGACTCGGTGAAGAATGCTTCCTTTATCAATTTGAGTGACATTTCTGCAAGCGGAGCAAGGAAAAAAACAAGCCAAAAGCTGTGAGCTAATTAACATGAAAATTTATATATTATCTCCATTCTCCATTAACCTGAGAAAATTTATATAAAGCCTCGGCAAAGAATCTAATATAAAATCCAAAGAGGACTTAGTCAACTTGAGGATTGAAGGAGCATCCTCAGAAAACACATTACAGGTAGGATAAATAAGTTAAAGAACTCATCGTTGACTGCATAAGAAAAATTAGATTGGAGATTGGAAGAATGTCTCCTACAAATACAAAACCTGTTAAGATCGGGATTTCATTTTAAAAGGTTAACCTTATTAAAAGCAGCCCAAAATCTTATAGGTTGGTCTATGTTTTTTAACTTTATTTGATGTGAGATTATATTTCTTAACATCCCCAGCAAGATGGTGGTTCGTTTGTGTTTGCTCATTTTTTATTTTTAATCCAATCGAATTGCTCGTTTAAGTTTTATGACTTTGATACCATGTTAAGACTTGAGATTTCATCTTAAAAGATCAACCTCGTTAAGAGCCAAGAGGAATAAACCCAAAATCTTATAAGTTGATTTATGTTTTTCATTTTTATTCGATGTGAGATTATATCCTTTAACAAAACCAACAAGGGAGATAAGCAAAGGCCAGCCATCGTGGCAGAGAAAGTTTCTCGGCCTATGAATTTAAAATCTTTGACAATTATTTTGGCAAATTGATCGGCTGGTTCTTGTTATCAAGGTTGCAAGCTTCTGCTAGCATGTAAACTTGAATTCAGCTGTCTTATTTCACAAGTTACCATTGGATAGTACGAAACAATTTGTATTGATAGGTTTGCGTACATTCCATATATAAATAATAGGCTATTACAAGATTGATCTAAGTGAATTAGTTTTGTATGTATAAACAATCAACAACAAAACCCATCTCAATATTGAGAACTGCCTCATTATGAACACATCGTCTGTCTCTCACCACACAACAAATCCTTCAAAAAACCTTTTCCTTCTCAGTAGGCACGGATAAATTACAAGGTGTCAATTGACTAGTATATTGCATTCTTGATGTTCTTTATTTAACCTCAAGGAATCGTATGCATATAAACTTGTTCCTGCTGTTCTTAATTCAACATCAAGAAAGGCATATCTGCACCAGCTGTCAAATGCTGGCTGAGGGACTATTGCAGACCCACCTTGATGTTCTGCGCATCCAAGAGAACGTTCAGAATTTTACCCAGCACGAATATGCGCTTTTTGATGCTTTTACCAGACATAAACTTGGACAGTTTAGAATCAAGTGAAGCTAGTCTAAAAGCATCTTCCTCGGTGCATGCTTCTTCGACCTGTATGGTACCTCTTGTCTTACCGTTTATCTGAACTAGTAAAACTACAGTGGACTCCTTTAAGTAAGCAGGATTAGCCTGTAATAAGTAGATGTCAGAGACCCACAATGACTAATTCTTAAAAATGTATTGTCACAACTCGGAGAGATTCTTCATTTTTCGTCAGAGAAACTATCCAGCCTTTTTTCTGAATACAGTGATCATAAGTAGTCAAAAGTAGAAAGCACCATCTGATTTTAATAACTTTAGAATCTATTAACATATGATTATTTTATCAACAGCTTCTTTTTAATGTTCCCCACTGACTTTTAGGTAAATGTACCAAACAATTCATGCAGTCTGCACTGGATTGGAAACAACAGAAGTTAGTCCATACAACAGAGACCACCATAGAAATACATCGCGCTAGCCTAGCCAGAGGACACCTGCCAAGGGAGTAGGCGGGCTAAATTAGTAGGAAATGCACATTCATGCCTCGGGGAAAGGCTCATATGCCAGTGACATTGAGTGTCCTAAATGGGACCAGAGCTCTTCCGCCACATGAGATGCATAGGGTGAGAGCAGTAAGAAAAATGTTTCGACAATTGACTTTGGAAGCTCTTCCCACTAAAAACAGGAAAATACACTGTCAAATCATAAAAGAACTAGCCAAGCTCAACAGTCACAGTTTTACTTTTATGAAGACAAACACTAAAAGGTCTTTTAACCAATTTCTTCCTCCAATATGATAACATTGGGAAATATGGTAGAAGTGTCTTCAGAGCATAACATAAGCCCTCCTATTCTTTCCTACCCTTTTACTCACCGCTACAATGGGTTTCTGGACCCTTTTCTTCCACTTATTCATGGATGCCTGTCATACACTTTCTATGGATGTGGGCATGCTGTATCATCATGATAAGTACAGAAAACTAATTCAAGTGCGTACATGTGGCGGGGCGCGTCTGAGAGAGAGTGAGAGACCTTATATGCAGCATTGATGAACTCCATCATCGCAGAAATTCCAGTGTTGAACTGTATTCCTTCAATTTCTTCTGTCACCTACCATAGTAAACCAATTCAGCAATCAAAATGCATATGTCAAACTGGAAGACACCTTATTTCATGAACACGATAGAGCATTTGAGGGGAAGTCCAAATGCTTTCACTTCATGGTCTCAAATGAACCGTCTAAATCTCCTAGTTATATCAAAGGTAAAAGACTAAGGATAATTTAAAAGTTGTAGACACCAGTGCACATCAGATATATTACACTTCCATTATCATTAGTATCTCTTTTTGGTTGGATGGCAAGAATGGATGTAGGCCATGAACACTTCAATGAAATACCAGTATTACCTTGTCGATGCATCTATGAGACCATGAAGACACCGAAGTTGTTCCATAGAAGGTTTTTCATCAAGGTTAATTGTTCCATCTTTAATAGGTGAACCGACAATCAATCTCCACACTCTTGCCAAAAAACGATGAACACTTCAATAACACTAGCACTCCAGATTTTGGAGTCTCTGGGATCATATATATTGGGAAAACAATGTTATCAAAGGAAATTAAGTACTGAATTAAAGTGCAGGATTTTATCTTTTGTGAGCATAGAAAAAATTGAAGCATTAGTTCCCTACCCCCACCTCACAAAGGAAAGAAAAATACTAAGACAATACAAAGGATAAAGGAACCTACCGAAATTGGCCCATAAACATTTCATATAAACAAAGAGAATCTGCACCATACTCCAAAACAACATCGTCAGGATTTATGACATTTCCGGGACTTTTACTCATCTTGTGAGCAATATTGGGATGGTTTTTCTAGCACATAAGAATCACCAGAATTCTTGACCTAGTTCAGAACAGAACACGAATTAAAAGAAATAAACATGATTCAAAATTAACTATAGAATTCTATGAGAAGAAGCGAAAGGAATAAAAAGAAAATGGTTCTCATCTCCACAATATTTGGCAAAAGACATCATAACAAACGAGGACAGTGAAAGTTGCAACATACCTTCTCCTCGGCTATTCTTTCGTGGCCATTTATTGAACCCGCCATCTCGGCCATTAAAAATATGCAGTTTCCAAAGGACATCATGTCTACATGATCGAGCAATTTATACTAACCACCCAAGGATAATTCCTTGGTTGATGACACAGTTAAAGGGTTCCTTTGTTGACACAACACCAACGTCATAAAGGAACTGAAGCAAAACATTAACAATTGATCGAGTTAAAAGTACTGCAAAAAAAAGAAAGCAATTGCATATGTTTGCCCCTTGAAGATTTTTGAGAGTGCTTTTATGAACATTCAATAGCCAATGCCTGAATGATAGAATACTTCTGATTTAGGAAGAGCTTTAAGATTTTAGGTTTTAGCTAGGTCTGCTACTCTGCCTCCAGAAGGTCCATGAATTACGGCCTTGAGAAATACGAGACCAAGGCGATAAATTGATAAGAAACTCTTAAATATAAATAAAATGAATACTTATAAGATAAATAACTTATTTATAACTTTCATAAAAATTAATTTATAAATTTTAAAGAAATTTTATAAGCTTAACAAAAAATTATATTGAAGATTTCCTTAATTTTTATTAGATTGATTCGTTTTTCTAGATTTTGGTATGTATGAAAAAAGAAAGAAGGGATATAAAACTAGGTAATAGTTTAATTATAGATCTATTTTACTCATTAAACCAAGAATGTAAGTTAAGTGTCCAAATATTTTGGGCCTTTTATTTAGTCGCATTGTGTTGTTTTGTTGTTGGTTTTTAAAGGATAACAAGGCTCGATTCAAAAAAGTAAAGGAAAACTTTTGTTAGACTTTTGAGATTTAAGGTCCGTTTGCTACCCATTTTTTTAAAAATCATTTTTTTCTCTCTTCTTTTCAACCATATATTCTTTATTAAAATAATATTACACGTAAATCAAAAACTTTTCCTTATCTTTCAACCACACATTTCTCATCAATTTACAATTCTAAAATGTATTTTTACATGAAAATGGATATCATACAACCCCTTAAATTTTTTTTAGACCCATTATATCTTCAGGTCCAAGGCAACAGCCTAATTTGTCTTGGGCCATGGCCGGGCTTGCCATGAGTAAGTAGGTTCTGTAACCCTTTAGCTTGGCTCAAAGTTGTGTTAAGCTGAGAATCTACATTTTTTTTTCTTGTCTTTTTTTAATGTCCCCTCTTGTTAACCATTTGCATCATGAAAGCTATAGTTAATGGATCAAGAACAATCCAAGCATTGGCTTTACTATGAGATGGGCCAAGAATTTTTATACCCAAAAAAAAAAAAAGTTCAAATGGCGAGAGTGACAATAACAACAGGTGAAACAATTCAACAAAAGGTGCATGAGCTAATAGGAAAAACTACAAGCTCCAGGCTTCCCCATTTATTGAACGGCCTAATATGGAGTACAAACCTTGTGCCAGAATCTAGCATACAATAAACGAAGTACAGCATGTTCAGCAGCACCAATATACACATCAACTGGGCTCCAATACCTGCAGGTAAAGAGATTATGTGACTGGCAGAACACGGTATAACCAAAGCTCATCAGTCACCAGGATGCAACAAAATGGAAATCTACTGTTATGGATTAAACTCACATTTCTTTTTCCTTGTCCACCAATTCTTTGGAATTCTTAGGGTCTATAAACCTTAGATAGTACCTGAATATTAATCAAAACAAACTCCATATGATATATGAAATATAAAGCATACTTTTTACAATGTGCAGAATTTTGTAAATACTTAGTAGAAAACTAATATAGAAATGATTACATCGACGAACAAAAGTTAGAAGAATCATTAGCTTGTCATTTTAAGTCAAACCAATCATGCCATCTCAATTATTAAGACATGCTCGGTTAAAATGTGCTTAACATCTTATATTATGAAGCCTAGTGATGTAGCCCAAAAATTATTTACCCGGATTGGACCATATGGTGGAATGTGACTTGGTTTGGCCTTTGTGCTTAATCTGGCATTTACTTAAAACCCGACTCCATTGGACGGCAAATATGATGACACCTGTTGCTGGCTGAACTGTTGGATGCATTATGATCTTTTATATTCCAAGTCTCTTTCACTTTTGGGGTTCACGATTATTCTAAGTTTCTGTCTCTATTCGTCTCTATGATTTTTCTCTCTAAAAATCCTTGGTTTTCATTTGTAATCTTGATTCTTCTGGTATTCATGGTGATGTCCAGTGTAGATTACGTTATGGTTAGAGTTTTATTGTTCTTTGGTGAACTGTACTCTTGGTTACTTGGTGTAATCTGTAAATGAGAGAAAAGAGTGAGAGTATTTCCATTTTCTTGGCGTCGACAGCCAAAGGTCCTTGCACAGTCTAGAACCATTGCTTTGTCTTTTGATAATTTGCCTCCTTCTACTTCACAACTTATCATTTCTATTATTTTTAAGAACTGGAAAAAAATTGCAAGAAAGGTGAGCTCGCATAAGATTAAAAATGTGATATAGAAAAAGAAATAGAAGTGAATAAACATATAAGAACGGTGGGTGAAAACAACTCCCAAAATAAATTATCTATACATTCTTAGATAGATTTCACTTCAAATAACTTCACTTTTTTTGGACATTGTTAAACCATTCGATTACCATAGCCTTCCCTTTATCAGAGATCATACCACAAATCAAGTAACAAATCATAACAAAAATAATTAGGCAAGATTCAAGGGTGTAACGATCAGTCAATTACAAGAATCAAGCCTTGCATCAGTCACCACCAATATCACAACCACAATTTTAGCTAGCTTCCCTAGAACAATATTGCCTTTTTAAAATAGTTTTGCAATCTTTGTATATATAGAGCATATAATTCTTCAATAAAAAAATCACTACTATATTGTAATTCATTTTATCAATATACAGTTAAGATTAAAGTTCCATCATGGTATCAAGAGCAGTCCCCTCCAACGAGAATTCGATCCTCACTTCCCACACTCCAATCTCAACACCACCATCCCCAATCGAAACCCTCTTGATTGCCCTAAACATCTCTGCTCAACTAAATGGCAAGCTCACCTCTTCCACTTTTCCTTAGTGGCGTTCACAGTTTGAGGCCCTTCTGATCGGATATAATCTTTTAGATTATGTGACTGGTGATCACACCTGTCCTATAGCCAATGCCAATCCCGGATCATCTCTTCAAAAAGCCTACTGGGTCAGACAGGATAAAATGATCCTTAGTGCCATCCTAGCTTCTACCACTACCACAATCACCCCATTTATCTCAGCTGCCAAAACTTCAAAGGAAGCATGGCAAAAGTTACATTGTATGTACGCCACCAAGTCTTGCACCAGAGCTATGCAACTCAAAGAAGAGCTTACTTTAATTAAGAGAGACAATAAAACCATTCAACTCACCTTCATAAGGTTAAGCCTCTTGCAGACGAAATTGCCCTAATTGATCATCCGATCTCTGCTGATGATCTCACTCTCTATATTCTCCATGGCTTGGGGTCCAATTACCGTGAAATTGTTGCACAAATCCGAGCCCGAGCAAAATCCCTCACATTCGAGGAGCTCCACGACCTGTTCGTAGGTCATGAGGCATATTTACACCGTCTTGAAGCCACCACACAGCAACTGGTGCCTATCGCGAATTTCTCCAACCGATTTGGTGGACTCACTCTGGTACAACCCGTTCGAATGGCACCAATGCATCTCGCGGCTTCAATAAACCTATAGAAAATAGAAGTCCTAACGAGCCAAGAGACATCAATCGACCCAACTATGGAGGGAAGCCCACAGGTCAGCACCGTCATTAGCGTAAGTGTCAATGGTATGAACAACTGGGCCATATTGCAAATAGTGTCCAAGAGTCTATTTTTCAGAGCCCACTACCAACTCTGTTTCAACCACCCATCAAAAGGACACCAAATGGTTAATTAATTCCGTTGCATCTCATAATATTGCAAGTGATTTGGCGAATTTATCCATTCACACGGAATATGATGGCACAAATGAAGTTGTAATCGGTGATGGTTCAAATTTGCGTGTCTCACATATTTGTTCTTTGGTATTTCATTCTTCAACATGCACCTTCAAATTAGATGATACCCTTTGTGTTCCAAGAATTCGTAAAAATTTAGTTTCCGTCCATCACTTTACTCTACCCAAAATCATGTTTTTCTTGAATTTCACCCATCTTACTTTCTTGTCAAGGATCGTATCAAGGGGGCAATACTTCTCAAAGGTGCATGTGACAATGGTGTGTACACACTTCCAAACTCATTGGTGGACTCATCTTCAAAAAAGGTTGCAAATGTGCATGAGATGACGTCTATTGACGGGTGGCACAAGCAACTTGGACATTTGTCTTCAAAAATTGTCAATTATCTTATTAATGTCTTTTCTCTTCCAGTAAAAAAAGAACGTCAAGTGTCAAATCTTTGTACTTCTTGTTTTATCAATAAAGCGCATCAACAACCTTTCCATTCAACTACTCTTCAAAGTCATGCTCTTCTTGATCCCATTTACACTGATGTTGGGGGTCCTTCACATATTGTTGGTCTCGATGGTTCGCACTACTACTTAATTTTGGTTGATCACTTTACCAAATATATATGGTTTTATCCTATGGCAACCAAATCAAATGTACATAGCATATTTCCTCAATTTAAGCATCTTGTTGAAAACCTTTTCCAAACAAAATTAAAAAGTGTTTATTCCGACAACGGTGGTGAGTTTGTGGCTCTTAAAAATTACTTTTCTATTCGTGGAATTAGTCACTACACCACCGCTCCTCACACTTCCCAACAAAATGGCGTTGCTGGGTGCCTCTATCAACATCTTGTGAAAACTGGACTTACTCTATTAAAAGATGCCTCTCTCGTACTACCTTATTGGCCACACGCATTTCAAACCACTGTTTACTTCATTAATCGACAGCCAACTCCTCTTTTACATATAAATCCCCCTTTGAAAAATTGTTTAATCGACCATCAAATTATCTTAAATTAAGAAAATTTGGTTGTTTGTGTTTTCCCCTAACCTGGCCTTACAACAATCATAAACTCTAGCCCAAATCAAGTCCTTCTGTCTTTTTAGGCTACTCTCAAACCCAAAGTGCGTATCAATGCATGGACTTAGCCACAAAATGTGTCTATCTCTCGCGTCATGTCATCTTCCACGAAACACACACTCTTTTCAACACCTTCCTTGCACCTCATGTCGACATCTCCTCCCCAACGTCAACGTTCCCCATCTCGCCGCTTCAACTACCGCAACCGCCACTAGTGAGAATGGCTCGTACACATGTTTCCACATCACCACCAAGTTTTTCCCTCAATCTCTCATCTCCTCATTTACCTACCCGCATTTATATTCACTCTAACATCACAATCAACTTGTACCTAATCTCCCAATCTAACGGATACACAAACCCAAATAGAATCCCTCAATCTCGAATCCCCATCTGAACCTATAGGAATTTAGCAACCAAGTGAACTAAGCCCAACCCATTCCATGACTACCCCTTCAATGAACAACAATCATAAGCCAAAACAACTACATTCAATTACCAAACACCCAATTCCACCCACCATTGAACTAAGTTGTGTGAGTCACGCCCTCCGTGATCTTAAATGGAAAAGTGCCATATCTGATGAGCTCACAGCTCTAATGAGACAACACATGGGAATTAGTTCCCCCACCACTTCACTGCAAACTAGTGGGTTGCAAATGGGTATTCAGGGTGAAAAGAAATTTTGATGGGTTTGTTGATCATTTTAAAGCTAGATTGGTTGCCAAAGGTTTCAATCAACGACCTAGGTTGGATTATAAGAAAACTTTCAGTTCAATTGTAAAACGAGCCACCATTAGAATAGTTCTAACCATTGCTATGATGCAAGGCTGGACCTTAAGACAACTAGATGTCAACAATGCTTTCTTGCATGGAAAATTGCATGAAACAGTGTATATGCTTCAACCACTGAGCTTCAAATATTTATCAAAACCCATGTTTGTAGGTTACAAAAGACCATCTACAGTCTCAAACAAGCTCCAAGGGAATGGTACTCGGCTCTAAATGAAAAGATTTTGGAATTTGGCTTTGTCAATTCAAAAGCAGACAGCTCCTTGTTTATTTATAAATCAGCCTATGTTTCATGCTTCTTGCTAGTCTATGTTGATGATTTGGTTATTACTGGAAGTGACAGTTTTTGTCTTCTCAATAATTACTAAACTCAAAGCTTCTTTTTCTCTAAAGGACATGGGGTAACTTCATTTTTTTCTAGGCATAGAAGTTATTCCTACTATGAGTTTATTCTTGTTCCAGTTCAAATACATTCATAACATTCTCGCAAAGGCAAACATGCTCGATACAAAAAAAGTGTCCACCCCACTATCCACAACAATAGCTCTTACACTCATTAATGGTACTTCAGCTATGGACAGCACTGAGTTTAGGAATGTCATAGGTGCACTTCAGTACCTCTCTCTTACATGGCTAGACATATCCTTTGCAATGAACAAACTTTCCCAATTTATGCATAAACCCACTGCCACGCATTGGTCAACTACAAAGAGACTCCTAAGATACTTAAAACAGACAATTTATCATGTCATTCACATACGCAAAGGCTCAAGCTCAACCATAACCATCTACACCGATGCTGATTGGACCGAAAACTATGATGCTAGAAGTTCCACATCTGCCTATATATGCTTTCTCAGTCAAAATCCAATCTCTCAAAAAAACAACAGACCATTTGGTTATTTTTGTTGTTTCAAGAACTCAGCTTAAACATTTCTTCCCCACCAAAATTGTTTTGTGACAACTTGGGTGCAACACAACTCAGCCTTAACCCTATTCAATATTCGTGGACGAACATATTCAAATAGACCTGCATTTTGTTAGAAATATAGTTCAAAAAGGTATGTTGAAAGTTCATCATGTAAATACCCAAGGATCAGCTTGCAAATCTTCTCACAAAGCCATTGTCAAGACAACGAACTAAGAACCAAGATTGGACTTGCAGATGGCAACCCTATCTTGCAAGGGCATATCAACGATAATGCCACAAATCAAGCAACATATCACAACAAAAATAATTAGGTGAGATTCAAGGATGTGACAATCAATCAATCAATCATAAGAATCAAGCCCTGCATCCATCACCAATCGCACAACCACAATTCTAGCTAACTTCCCTAGAACAATACTGCTTTCCTAGAATAGTTTTGCAATCTTTGTATATATAGAGCATATAATTCTTCTATAAAAAAATCACTGTTGTATTGTAATTTATTTTATCAATATAGTCAAGATTAAAATCCCATCATCCTTCCCATTTGGGCAGTCACAACACTTCATATGTGTATTTGAAATTCCATCAATTGGTTGTCAATTAATCATTTGCAAACTCAGCTGAATATGAAATTAACAAGACTGCAGAAGAAATTAATAATCAGGAAATATTACAGCCCTCAGATTTCAGACTTCTAGCAGAGAGTGCATATAATACCAGTTCATACACCTTGATTTTTGAGTGCTTTCAATTTAAGAACATAAAATTCTCAGAAAAGGGATGATGAAATATCCATAGAAAAAGGATTTCCCAAGACATTTTCCATGTAATAATGGGAATGTCCAGCAGCAGCAGCATCCATCACAACAAACTGCATGTCTTCTGAAGGTTTCCAGTGCCTCTTCCTTTGGTTGATGAACCAATTGTTTATTTGCTTCTGATCCAGTCCTGTTGATTCAGCAAGTGCCAGTTTCTGTGATTCCTGTTAACAGTTAAGTTGCGTCATTATCAAGAGTTAGAAATACTTCAGGATTCGTTCATTAGGAGGAAAAGAAGCTAAAAAATATCTCCCAGTAGTGACCAAACCAATCCAATACTACATGCTCTCTATTAAGAGGATCTCCAAAAAATTATTTTTTTTGCAATTTAAATAGCATGTATAAATTTAGAGTAAAAATTTTTAAATACTCCAACGGACTTCTTATCTTTAAAACTTAGTTTTACTACTCTATATGTATTTATTATTTTTCTCTACATGTATTTATAATTTTTTCCCAATATTTCATTTTCATCAACTTCCTTTGAAAATTTTATTTTTTTTTCCCCCTTCATTTTCTTTGTATATTTTTTTTAGTTGGGTCAATATATGGAACATTGCAATTTGAAATATTTTGAATGCATCCAATTATAGTGAAATATGAAGAGCCAATCTCACTCCATATTTTAAAATGTTAATTTAAAGATTCTGTTAGAACATAATTTGAAGGGTGGCTCTATAAAATAGAGAGCATTTCACTTTTAAAGAATCCCTTGAAAATGCTCTAATTATGTTATTTTCCAATTAAAGAATGTTTGAGTATGGATATAGCTATTTGTGACAGCACAATAAATTCAAGACCAAAAACACAAAAGAACACAAGAAAAATTAAAACTTCGAAATCTTTTGTTGGGAGTGTTGGGAACGTGACTGTTTTACAAACCTATAATCAAGGCTAATAAATGATGTGGACATTTCTAATCCCTATTTGGATAGTTTCGAGGCTAGAAATGTTTTCCATGTAAGGTGTTTTTGCAAATACACACAGGCACTACATGATCACGCACGCATAAAGATGGAAGAATTTCATGAAAAAACACCGAAGAATTTAGATAATATTTCTGATCGAAAATAATCAATTAAATGGCACCAATAATCAACGAAAAAAATAACAATATTAGCAGACCAAACAAAGATGAAGATGAAAGAAACATGCTAGAAGATAGTATACGAATACATGGAGTTACTAAAATTAATAAACTAAAGTCAGTGAAAGATAAACAGAGTTTATACTAACATTCCTAAATTTAACTGAACACAGCATGCAGTAACTATTTGCTATTGCATAGTAACTCAAGGTTTGGGATCAAATCATTAAATAGCATAAAATTGAGAGCAATACAAATTTTATATATCTGAGCTTACAACATACCGAAGGATATGGCCATTTGTAATGCCTGCTCCACCACTCTAGCAATTGTTGTCTGGCTTCTTTGGGCAGCTTACCTTTCTTCCTTTTCTTCATAAACTCCTGTTTGAGGCCGCCCAAGTATCCACTGTATTTTCGCAAGAGCTGACCTTTTAGTTCCCGATCTTCTGCCAGAGGGTCTATGGAACTATTATTCCCATCGACTTCCTCTTCAGATAATCCATTTCTATCCATTGCCTCAGGACAAGCTGCTGGTATATATGACATGTCATAAGCACTAAGCTATTAAAATTATATGGTATTTTACATGTTTCAGATTCATCAAACCATATAAAAGCGGATCTCCGACAGTCAGATAAATAGCACAATACTCATGGTTGCAGGCAAGTGTCAAATGGATCTTTCAATGCTTCAATAGATGCTCTCCACTAATTTATTGTGTCCCTTTCTCCAAGAACTAGTTCTTTAAGAAGGTCAGCTGTAATTGTGGCGATGCTACTAAAGGTGAGTTTTCCATTACCATGCATCACAAACCAGACAAATAATCCTTTCCAACTTGAAGGAAATAAGAACGAGTTAATATATGCACAGAGACCATTACTTAATGCTGGGAGGAGTAATCAAAGCAAGTGAAAATGTTGCTAGATTTAAGGTCACACAATCCAATTTCCCAATTGTCAAGTGAAGATAAACATATATTCTTGGAAATGAGGCCTACTTTTCTCGTTGATAAGAAAAAAGATAAGCATCCAAGGCAATTTTAGCCAGTATATTTGCATAATCAAGTGAAAAATTTGTTAACTCTTATTTTAATGAAAAAATTTCCCGGTTACGTTCACATTGTGTAGACCATTGACCTTGTCTTCGTCATAACAATAAAGAGAAACTAATTACCAATCAATTCATAGCAATGGTACTCTATCCCATTTGATAAAACTTTCATAAAATGTCCAAAACATGAACCGATAAGAAAACCAAAGAAAATCATAGTTATCTCATGACTATATACTTTCACAGTAATAGGAAAGCATTTTAAATTATAGTTATGGGTTTGATAAAAAATTACAATCTTTATTGTAGTAATATTGTGTTCCTATGGATAAGGTCGTGTTGCAGATAAGACACTATAGTTATTTGTTTTAATTTTCCAGAGGGTGGTTTTATCCATTCAATATCGTCAAGGGAATGATACTGGCTTATGAAAATAAATATATACACGTACACATTGATCAGTTTAGACTTTATTTTTATATCCATCTAAAGTTTCTGACAGCGCTTTCTACACAAATTGATTGGATAGCAATAATCTCTAATCCATTTAAGTTAATCACTTGTCCATTTTGGCCAATCAGAAGCTTCTTTATAGCCATCAGGCATATCTATCTTTCCTTATTTAGTTGACAAATTTATAACAATGTCCAACAAAGATGAATGTGTATGGTGCCGAAAGAATATATGATAGTTACAGATTTATAAAGCTACATAATAGACCTTCCAGAGTTTGTTTTAAACTCGAAAAAAATCTCCATTCACCATATATATGTTATAGTTCAAGAGAGCACAAAAGAATGGACACATCACACTTAAAAGAGTTAAAAAAATAACCATAACTTCAAACTATTTTCCAAGGAAAATATGGATTTGACTTCAGAATTGAAAATAATCCATATTAAACAATGAAAGACCAATTATATAGTGAAAAAATAAAATTAAAAAAAAGTCATTTTCATTTAATCATTTGACAACTCAATCCACACTAACATTTTAATCAGTTCACTCAAAATGGACTTGCGATAAACTTGCTCAGGACAATTAGCGATGAAGATGGCTACAGATGAAGCCCCCTTCCCATCGACTTCCTCTTCAGATAATCCATTTCTATCCATTGCCTCAGGACAAGCTGCTGGTATATATGACATGTCATAAGCACGAAGCTATTAAAATTATATGGTATTTTACATGTTTCAGATTCATCAAACCATATAAAAGCGGATCTCCGACAGTCAGATAAATAGCACAATACTCATGGTTGCAGGCAAGTGTCAAATGGATCTTTCAATGCTTCAATAGATGCTCTTCACTAATTTATTGTGTCCCTTTCTCCAAGAACTAGTTCTTTAAGAAGGTCAGCTGTAATTGTGGCGATGCTACTAAAGGTGAGTTTTCCATTACCATGCATCACAAACCAGACAAATAATCCTTTCCAACTTTCCCATCGACTTCCTCTTCAGATAATCCATTTCTATCCATTGCCTCAGGACAAGCTGCTGGTATATATGACATGTCATAAGCACTAAGCTATTAAAATTATATGGTATTTTACATGTTTCAGATTCATCAAACCATATAAAAGCGGATCTCCGACAGTCAGATAAATAGCACAATACTCATGGTTGCAGGCAAGTGTCAAATGGATCTTTCAATGCTTCAATAGATGCTCTCCACTAATTTATTGTGTCCCTTTCTCCAAGAACTAGTTCTTTAAGAAGGTCAGCTGTAATTGTGGCGATGCTACTAAAGGTGAGTTTTCCATTACCATGCATCACAAACCAGACAAATAATCCTTTCCAACTTGGAAGGAAATAAGAACGAGTTAATATATGCACAGAGACCATTACTTAATGCTGGGAGGAGTAATCAAAGCAAGTGAAAATGTTGCTAGATTTAAGGTCACACAATCCAATTTCCCAATTGTCAAGTGAAGATAAACATATATTCTTGGAAATGAGGCCTACTTTTCTCGTTGATAAGAAAAAAGATAAGCATCCAAGGCAATTTTAGCCAGTATATTTGCATAATCAAGTGAAAAATTTGTTAACTCTTATTTTAATGAAAAAATTTCCCGGTTACGTTCACATTGTGTAGACCATTGACCTTGTCTTCGTCATAACAATAAAGAGAAACTAATTACCAATCAATTCATAGCAATGGTACTCTATCCCATTTGATAAAACTTTCATAAAATGTCCAAAACATGAACCGATAAGAAAACCAAAGAAAATCATAGTTATCTCATGACTATATACTTTCACAGTAATAGGAAAGCATTTTAAATTATAGTTATGGGTTTGATAAAAAATTACAATCTTTATTGTAGTAATATTGTGTTCCTATGGATAAGGTCGTGTTGCAGATAAGACACTATAGTTATTTGTTTTAATTTTCCAGAGGGTGGTTTTATCCATTCAATATCGTCAAGGGAATGATACTGGCTTATGAAAATAAATATATACACGTACACATTGATCAGTTTAGACTTTATTTTTATATCCATCTAAAGTTTCTGACAGCGCTTTCTACACAAATTGATTGGATAGCAATAATCTCTAATCCATTTAAGTTAATCACTTGTCCATTTTGGCCAATCAGAAGCTTCTTTATAGCCATCAAGCATATCTATCTTTCCTTATTTAGTTGACAAATTTATAACAATGTCCAACAAAGATGAATGTGTATGGTGCCAAAAGAATATATGATAGTTACAGATTTATAAAGCTACATAATAGACCTTCCAGAGCTTGTTTTAAACTCGAAAAAAATCTCCATTCACCATATATATGTTATAGTTCAAGAGAGCACAAAAGAATGGACACATCACACTTAAAAGAGTTAAAAAAATAACCATAACTTCAAACTATTTTCCAAGGAAAATATGGATTTGACTTCAGAATTGAAAATAATCCATATTAAACAATGAAAGACCAATTATATAGTGAAAAAATAAAATTAAAAAAAAGTCATTTTCATTTAATCATTTGACAACTCAATCCACACTAACATTTTAATCAGTTCACTCAAAATGGACTTGCGATAAACTTGCTCAGGACAATTAGCGATGAAGATGGCTACAGATGAAGCCCCCTGGGCACATCTCCAAGTGGTAAAAAGGGAGGGTGGAGAAATCCAGCTTTGCTTGAGGCTGCTGCGTCAAGGGTTCGAATCCTGAAATATGAATTTGGCTCTTGGGTAAGTGCAAGTGTACAAGCAGCCTTCCACCCTGTACCCTTGGAGGCATAACCTGCGATTTACCTCTCTTACGATGCTCCAGGGCAGGGGTGATGGGGAATCCTTAAGGTTAGGGTTTAACCTTTTAAGATGGCTACAGATGAAATAAAAATAAAGAAAAGATTTTAAAATTGAGAATTGAACTGACAACTCTAAAATTTTCTCCTCAGTTGACAAATGCACCAGGATTTATGACAAGGCGCCAGAAGACATACTATATCCCCATCTCTTGGATTTTCTATGACATGCATCCTATAAAAAAGGGAGTATTTAAAACAGATGCCAAAAAATCTCTCATATCATAAGCTCAGTAAGTCCTTTAATTCTAGGTTTACTGCAAAAGATTCAAATTTAGTTACTATGAGATTTGCATTCTCTTCGAGCGAATCAGTATTAGACTTATCAGAATGCTCGAGGGACAACAAACAAGCAGACAACATAGAATAAATTGCACATATGATATTTGCAGACAGATTAAGAAAACCGAGGCATAGACAAAACGGAGGCATAGACTTTTCTTTATTAATTACTTAAATGTAGTGATCGCAAGATTCACAACTGACCCTAAAAAAAAATCAAAGCGACTCCTTTAACTCATAAATCTTAGTGTTCGCCGTTTAAAAGCTAAACCGAGCATACTAAGATTCACACTAGTAGCGTACAACTATAACTATAGCTACACTTTAGGAGTAGAATTGTAGAAATTATTTTAAGGAAATCCAAAACGTGAACGTCTAATTAGGATTAGCCCACGAACAATTGAATCCCCACAGAAACTTCATACGTAGAAAGGAGTACTATCATCTAGCTTCCTCTTGACAGTCAATATCAGATAGGAAACTATTAAAAGCACACAAAAAAAATAGAAGTACAGAGCGAAAGAGAGAGAGATTAAACAACGGAGGAATTGTATCTTGAGAAGGCTCGTTTATTAAAAAATATGCATTTCTTTGGAAACAAGCATTTGTAAGAATCCTAATAGTTAAAATTATAGAAAATCAGGTAGTAATCCAGCCATAAACAGTAAGATATAAGAAGAACGAAAGCCTTTCATTCAGGGAATAAAAAGACACGAGACGAAAGAGAGAAATTTATCACCAGAATTAGAGGTTAGAGTGAAAGCTTTTAACTGGGACTCAATTCTTGATAGAGAAAGCATGGCCTCCTCGAAGGGTTTAGAAAGTTCTTGCTCATACTTTATCAACATTTCACAGTAGGCCTCCATAAATTGGTCAAGTGCTGGATCTTCACCGACATAGCTTGTGCCGTTGCGGCCCATTGCAGCAGCAGATGAACATGCTTCTTCAAGTCTTGCCACCACTTCAGGAGGTGCTCCTATCTGTAAATATTTTTCATTATCAGTAGGACTTCATATGCTTAGGGTTACTTATTTAACTGTCTTTATCATCACTCTATTCAGTAGTCATTTTTATTACACTACTTTTTCTTGACTCGATTCAAGAGAGCAAATCTTGGGTATAACCTCTGAGAGAGTTTATGCTCAGAAATTTTAGGGTATGTAAAGTTCATTTGAAAACTTTGGGTACTCATTTACCTTTTGACAATTAACATAGGCAGTCAAGAGACGGTGATAGTGAGGATGAGCCATGATCTTTGCCTTAATAGACCATTCTCCGTCATTGCTGTTGCTGTGATTGCTACAGCCCGGCCCCATAAAATAATAACCTGTGCTTGTAATATTGTTATTATTGCTAATGTTATTTTGTTCTTCAACCATGACAGAAGAATTACCAGGGCTCTTGTGAAGATTTAGGTTTTGATTGTTGGTGGTGGGAAGAAGAGGGAGATATAGGGCATTGCTTTCTGCATTATGAGAAGTCATCGAAGGCATCATCATCGTAGGACACAAAGCATTAACGTTGTCCCCAAAAGCTATCGAACATGAAGTGTTACTGGAACCACCAACCTCCATTTCTCTCTCACACACTTACAAAACGAAGTATTGTTATATATCTCTCCCTCCTATTTTTACCCTTTTGCATGAGCTATCCGTCTCTTTCCTCTCTCTTTTTGAGTGTTCCCTGTGCAGTGGTCTCCCGAGTTTTATGCTACTGGTTTGGGGAAATCCTAAATAGTTGTCTGAGAAAGTTGTATGTGCAGATTTTTTTCCACTGAAAATGGGGTTTTAATCTTTATGGTCATTAACAGAAAAATAGATTTAGTGAGGAGAGAGAAGAGAGAAAGATTTGCAGATCGCAAGCGGTGATTGCAGAGGAGAAGGGAGTGACCATGTTATTTGCAAAGCTTTACCTTCCCGATGAAAACCCTTACAGACTCTTTGCTTATACTGCCACTAAAACACTGCCATTTTACTGATTACTCAGGATGAAGCTTTTGTTAATTAGGAGTTTAAAGTAACTGAGATGAACGATCACATCGAGGTGTAGTCGAGTAGTGTTATGCAGTGACAATAGAAATTGTGGTTTTTGGTTCAGGAATCATAAATCCTATCCTGTGGTTTATGTATTGGCTACTGCTAGTTTATAGCAAGTTGTCCACTCATTTTCCATTATTCTCTGCTCTCCTGGATTGTCTTCTTCTTCCCGGCGCCTTTTTTTCCTATTTCCTACTACCCTATTCAGTTGTACGCAAACACGCCACTGTTAGAGCTCTATTCTTTAAAAAAAATATACATTTTTAAACAATATTTTGACATTATTTTAATACACATTTTTTAATAAAATAATATTACACGTAAATTTAAAAATTTTCTTTATTTTTTAAACACATATTTTCTATCAATATACTATTCAAAAATTCATTCTTATTAAAAGAATATTGCTCAAACAATTAATGCCTATTTTTCAAAAAATAAAAATAAAATTCTCTCAATCTTCTTTCCTTCGATTAGTTGAAATCGAAATAAAAATTGATAAATATTGTAGATTTTATAAAATGTGTGGTTAAAAATAAATTTATGAAAAAATGAGTTTATGGGAAATGAAGGCCAAACAAAGACATATTTTAATAATAATTTTGCATGTAAAATTTTTTTATTTTATTTTTCATCACACATTTTTCATAAAAAAAATTTTTTTTTAAACTATCAAAATATGATGCTCAAGTAGAGCCACAAATGTGATATCATATTCCCAACCTTTTAACATTTGCTTATGAAGCCCCTTTTGTTTCCCATTCTATCAATTTTTTTATATATATTCATTTTCAATCAAATATTTACATAATAAAATATTTGACACGTAAATTCAATTTTTTTTTCACACTTTTCAATTGCACATTCTCCAAAAATTCACTATTCAAAACAATATTTTATCTACAAACAATAGCTAAATTATGCACACGATATGAACATAATGTTTGAGTCATTTAAGGGTAAAATTGTTCAAAGAATAGCTACATTGATGTCATTTGAATAGTCACTTTTAAAAATTAAATAAATTTTTTTGACCAATTTTATTCTTTTAGTCAAAAATCACGCAAGGGTAACATGAAAATATAACATATACACATTTTTCACTGAGGTAAGATGCCACACACAATGTTAAGATTGAGACACGAATATATATATATATATATATATTACCCCGTTTGACTCATATTCTATTCAAAAAATACATTATTAAATAGTAATTTGACATTATTTCAATCACAAATTTTTCAATAGAATATTATTACACGCAAATTCAAAACTTGTTCTTATTTTTTATTAACATATTTCCCATCAGTATAATATCCAAAAATGCATTCTTGTAGCAAATAATGTAACTCGAATAAGAGCATAAATAGCGTTGAGATTATTCTAGTCTTCTATATGACTAAAATATAATATTAATCATCTCATTTAAAACTTAAATTATTAAAAAAACAGGACACAATTTTTTTTATTTATATCTAAGCATTCAACCCTTTTAACGTGTAAAAATGAATCATTCTTTCCAATTAGATAAATAGCCACCGCTAGTAGTGGAAAACGTTCAAATCTCAATTAATCTATTGCATGGCACTTTAACATCAAACTTTATAAAGATAAGATTTGCCAGCATATTTCTAGCTTTATAAAGCCAACTTTTATTTCTTTGCTTGTTTTAATGCTCATAATTTTGAAGTAAGACGTGCTTTCAAATATGTGACTATAATATTTGGCCACATAGTAATATCCGTTATGATAATATTATTAAAAAATAATGCAATTCGAAAATAAATAAATAGTTGTTTAAAGATTGAAGCATTGAACTCAAATAGTTTATAAGTTCTTAGTTATTTTTTGCAATATTCTGAATTATTCACAATATCTTGAGGAGTCTCGTTTTGCTCACGTCTTTTACTTTTTATTAATCATTTCTCTTTGAACCAATTTCAATCAAACATTCTTCAATATAATAATTTGTATGTGGACCCTTAATTTTTCCCTTTCTTTAACCTCACTTTGTCCAAAAAAATATATATATTTTACTCAAAATTTTTTTGTAAAAAATCTCTACTAAATAGGGGCACAATCTAAATGAGTAATCGAATAAAGCAAGCAATCTATAATCCTTTAACAGTAACATATTTGCAAAAAAACTTATCCCTTTGAAGAATTTGAAGCTGTAAGATGTCAGCATCAATGGTCTATTAATGCAATCTGATCATCGCATATCCTATCTAAAAAACTACAAACCTTCACAAAATCTTGACATATGGTCACTAGTTTTTTCTCAGGCTGGTGCCTTGGAAACATTTTGTTTTTGTGCAAATGTGACATGTCTAATCAGAGTTATAATCAATGCGAACTATCAATTGTGTCCATGACTCCCTTACCTCAATCTGTTACAATCGTGAGGCTAACGTCGCACAACTAACAATAGGAAAATGTCATCAAATCATCTAAAGGGCTAAGCATCGTCCTTAACATTTCCACCTTGAACACCGGTTGAAGTTTCAAAATCTCTTACAAATTTAAAAAATGAAAAATAAAAAGTGGCATTAATATAATTAGGCTGCATGCTGTCAAAAGTGTATTGATGCTTAAGACAACACTCGATTGGTATTGTTTCTAAGCATGAACTATAAAGAACTCTAATAATCGTACAATCCAATCAATGGAACTCAAAAAGTCCATGCAAGGTACGATCTTAGATCTATCAATCTTATAAACTTTGCTATTTGTACAATTCGGTTGACACTTACATTGTTGTCAACAATGCATTATATGAAAAAATTATCTAAAATTCAAACTGTCCAATTGGATATCATTATGTGATAAGGTGTAAATCAAAGTGTACATTAAAATGTACATGTAATAAGGTTCTATTAGTACATCGCGGGAGTTGAATGAGTTCATTTTTTGCAAATATTTATCACACTCGCACTTTTAAGACTACCAAGATGGATTCAAGATGGTTAAATTTTCATATTTTTTGCTTATAATCCCTCTCAAAATATTTATTCCCTAATTTAGGTGACGTCAGTGCAGACCCACTCCCGCGATGTACTAATAGACAGCTCATTTAACTGCACGCTTGTTGTTGGAATAATATTCAGAGACATTAAGAATATAGCCACTGTTAGGCTAAAGATCAGGTTTAGGTTTAGGTTTAGGGTTCTGCACCTCATTCCAGTCATGACTAAAGAAAGACTGTAGTATATATTGCACAGGAAGCTGCCCCAACAAAGAATAATGCTGAAGAAAAGGGGAATAAAAACAGGGTGAATTGGGAGCCTATGAGTGTTTTCATGTGTTTTTTTTTCTTTCCAATTTTCAATGAAAGATTGTCAGGTTTTGTTTGGAAATAATTTTCTGTCATTTGAATCTGATCATGCAGCATGATTTTTAAAAGTAGAGAGGAACAAAGCAGATGATTTTTACAGCTAATAGATTGCTTGTATATATTAATAGGTCGTGGTTGACCCAACAATTCGAATGAATTGGGACGGATTCAGACAAGTGAACGCAGGAGATCGCCCAAGATATGGAAGAGAAAAATTTTCTGCCGAAATCAGTACGGACAGCATTGCTGGTCGAGTGCTAACTTTGTCCCTGCTAATAGGTTATAATATACGTATTTAAGTATAGGAACTCAGCCAGCTAATAGCGTAGGGCTAGGGTTTCCCAAGATTGCTTTAGTATTTGCTTTACGTCATGTCCTCGCCAGTGCCCTCTGGCATGTGGCCAATGGGCTATGATACAAAGGTGAAAAGCAGAAGAAATCGTGTTTGACATTAAACCAGCATGTAATGTAAAGTTCTCGAGATCATTTTTTTATCATTATTCATCTATAAAAATATAAGACTTGTTTGATCGTGATTACGAAAATTAATTTTTAGAAATAATAGTGAATTCCACCTATAATAAAAGTAAAAAATGAAAGCTGAAATGATGAAATAACGATCAAAAAATTGATATTTTTGGATGAAAAATCAACACAGATTGAAAGATAAGTTCAACTAACCTTTAAATTAATAAATCTTTATTAGTGACTTTTCTGTTAAACTGGTATAAATTTAATTAATCTTCTTCACTTTATCTCGATTATCCCTTTCCATGTTTCAGTAAATACCCATTTTTCTGAGTTAAAAGTGGTCATCAATCACTCAGGGGCTTAATCTCTAGTCTTCTATTTAACCCTTGCACATGTCAATCACTTTTCTGAGTTAATTAGTATTCATTTCATTCTTTACCCTTCATTAGTACATCTTTTTGTGAGTTAAACTGGTTTAATTAGATCTTAACTTTATCAATAAAGCAAAACCCTTTTCCAGCTTGTTTATTGAATGGTGCACTAAACAGTTAAGGGTTTATTGCCATAACACTGTGAGCTCCAAGTTAAAAACTCGTGCTTAACTCATTCGTCTTGTAATCATATCTTTCCACTTTATTTATTCCGAAAGATTAGTTAACAAGTTTCACATTCCTCAATATTTTAATGATTTTTGTAGGGCCCATCAATCACGACTTGTACAGTAACGTGATTCGACAAAATGGTGACTAGTTCAAAAGTATCAAACTTTTTTCGTTTAATGACACTATTGTTAAAATTCAATTGCTTGCTTCAACTTCCTACACACTCTTGAATTTTCATTTTAAAGGGTAAGTTTATTGAGATTGTTGAAATTGAGTGAATATTTGTTTTAAATAAAGAAATGTTTAGCTTTCTTATTAGCATTTTGTGTCGTCTTATCAGATTTTAATGGCCATTAATTCTTTTGCATGACAAGACTCGTAAATATTCCACAAGGGTTCTTGGCTATTGCATTGGATATATTCTTGCTAGTGGGAGATTGAAAAATCTTTTAAGATATTTATACCGAGTCCGAGAGCACAGCTTTTGGCCGACAACATTTTGCTTTTCCTCATCTAATTCATACCACTATGAAAGGAAATGAACCCAGATGCCCCGCAACGATTCTTTGAGATTCATCGTTCTTTTTCTCTTTTTACTACTTTTTTAACCACAAATTCTTCAAAAAATCAAATAAGGACTAGATTTTAATT